GGGGGTCTGCGGGACACCGGGATAGGGGCTGGGGGTCTGCGGGACACCAGGATGAGGGCTGGCTTTGTGTGATGATGGGTTCTTGGGTTCCTGAGCTCAGCAAGTGCCTGTAAAGTCCCTATACCTTTGCACCTGACTCACGAGGCTCTGTGCCTGGGAAGCCCTGAGTGACCACTGGATGTCCAGCCCTGGGTGTCCCTAGAGAGCAGTGCCACTGGCTATAGTGAGGCGGTGCCTTGCAGTTCCGGCAGATTGCTCCATGGTGTGATAAATGAAGCTGGGGAGGGGGGTAGCTTCCTTTTATGGACACCTAGCCAGCCAGTTAGCTATAAAATCCCTCTTAGTAGCTGTTCTCTACTTGCTTCACCTGTAAAGGGTTAAAAAGTCTCATTGCTATGCATAGGTAAAAGTGAGTGGGCACCTGGCCAAAAGAGCCAATGGGAAGGGTAGAACTTTTTAAAATTGAAAAAACCCCACCCCTTTTGTCCATCTGTGGGGGTTCTACCAGCTCATTTAAAACCCCAGATATGTAAGTAGATCAGGAAATGTCTAGGAAGATGCAATTAAGTTCATCCCTTTTATTTCTTTATGGCTCCTCCGTGCTAACCCCAGGTGCTTTTGTTTTGCTTGTAACCTTTAAGCAGGACCTAAAGAAAGCTACTCTTGGTGCTTAATACTTGTAGTCACTCTTTTAAAATCTAGCAATAACCTGAGTTCCCAGATGTATTTTCTTCTTTTTAAAAAAATAAAATAAAATTTACCTTTTTTAAGAACAGGATTGAATTTCTGTGTCTTAAGAGGTTGTGCACATGTTTTTTAGTTAGTTTTTCTTTTCCTTTCTCAGCTCTTCCCCGAAGGGGATGGGAGGGGGCAAGGGCTTGAGGGTACCCCACAGGGAGGAATTCCCAAGTGCACCTTCCTGGGCTCTCAAAGGGGTTCTGCACTTGGGTCGGGGCAGCATCTACCCATCCAAGGTCAGAGAGAAGCTGTAACCTTGGGAGTTTAATACAAGCCTGGAGTGGCCAGTATTCATTTTTAAAGTCCTTGCTGGCCCTGCCTTCTGCACTCGATGTGCCAGAGTGGGGAATCAGCCTTGACACATGGGCTCCTCCCTGACCCTCTTCTCTCCTCCATCACCTCCCCTGGAGGCTGCCTCTGCCTTCGGCAGCATTGCACTGGTGGTGCCATTGGCACAGTGGTAGCTGCTCAGTGGCCCGCAGAGAGCTTTGCTGGAAGGGCCTGGCACTAGGGGTTTGCAAGGAGAACAGTGGAGGCAGCTGGCAGAGGGACAAGGGAGCAGAAGGTGGAGCAGAGAAAAGAGAGTCCAGCTGGGAAACGGGGAGGCGACTTTGCAATCGCACACCAGTGCCTGGCTGCTACGGTGGGCGACAGAGAGCCAGCTGAATGGATACACAGGCAACCGCAAGACGTAAACCACCCCTTGGTTTAGATGCAGTGTGAAGCCCTGTACTCCCGAGGGCAGCTGTGTTCGAAGCCAATCTGCATTGGCTGTGAGCTGCGGATTTTAGGCTATGAAGTCTGGTTCACCTGCGTCCCTCTGTGAAGGCTGTAGGGGGCGCTGCCTCTCCAACTCCCTCCCCTGGGCATGGGGGAGCTTGGCCCAGCAGATGCTGTTATGAGCGGCTGTCTCTTGTATGGTTACTGCCCTTGTTACTGTAGGAGCTGCGCAGATCACAATCTTTGCTGCATTTATCCTCACATATGCCTGGGAGGCAAGGCGATGCTATTAGCCCCATTGTACAGTGGGGGGAAACTGAGGCACAGATAGGCTAAATGACTTGCCCAAGGTCACACGGGGAGTCCGTGACAGAGCAGGGACTTGAACCTAGCTCTCCCCAGTCAGTGCCCTAACCAGGGGGCCCATCTTTCCATTTGCCTCCTTCCTGGGTAGGCTGTGTGGGCAGGGGCAGCAGGGGGGAGGGAGTGTGTGACATAGGGGTTTAGTTGCGTGTTGCACCATAATTGAACTATTTGCTTGGGTTCTAACTAGGGATCCTGCCTGCTGCGTCCTCACAGGGTCTAGGAGATAAACCAGGTCTTTACCAAAGGGCACGGGAAAGACAACTGCCATCCTGTGCAACCAAGTCACCCCTCCAACCTGCATCTGGGCAGGGTGTGCCCCACCACAGGTCTCTCCCACTTGGCCTGCAGCAGCTCCCCGACGGGGCGTGGCATGCACTGAGGGTGGGGCTCACCACTGTTTGTAGGCAGCCTGAGTTGCCAACACTTATGAAACTACCATGCTGGGTAGGGGCTGCTTGTGATCATGGGACTGGCCACAGGCAGATCAAGATTTGGACTCACACCTCCGATTGCAGAGTAGACACACCCTGAGTATGCCTGGTGCTGAGCGTGGGGCAGGGCTGCTGCAGGTGTGACATAATTAGTTGGTGTTGGTCCTGCTTTGAGCAGGGGGATGAACTAGATGACCTGCTGAGGTCCCTTCCAACCCTGATATTCTATGATCCTGCTCACCTGGGGTTATTAAAACCCCCAGGGCACTTTTCACTTTTGTCGTCCTGGCTCAAGTGGAGTTTGAGGAACGCCATTCCTGCTTCCTACCTTCAGGAGGCTTTCGGCGGCATGCCTGCAAGAGGTCTGCCAGTCCCGCAGATTCAGCGGCAATTCGGTGGCGGGTATGCCAAAGCCGCGGGACTGGTGGACCTCCCGCAGGCATGCCACTGAAAGCCGCCTGCCTGCCATGCTTGGGGCGGCAAAAAACAGAGCCACCCCTGCCTACCTTCCCCTACCGTTTTCATTAGCTACAATGGTGAGTCCCATCTGTCTGTAAGAATCCAAATGTATTGACCGCCCAGACGAATATTGACTGGTGAGAAACCAAAGTCAGCGTGTAGCTGGGGGTGAGATCTCCAAGGTCACTAACAGCAGGATAGAACTGGCTGGGTTAGTTACCTAACGAATAGAGTAGTAATTTGCCCTGTCATTTCCTGGAGGGCTATTGGTGGTGGTGCTTGGCCTGCTCGGCCAGAGAGCATGAACACACCCCGCGAGATTGGAAGCCGTCTCCCAACCCCCTTGGAAACCAAGATTCCCAATAGGAGGGCTGCAAACTACCATGCGTGATGAGACAGATGACGCATGTGCAGCTCATCAAAAGGCAGTTGTACACAGCTGAGCTCTCTCTGGTTAACACCATCCCAGGCTGAATTTCACTGAGCTCCGAGCTTGTAAGCAATAGAATCCGGCCGACTGTTTGGCCATATCCTGTGCAAAGGTTTCTGGGTATGCAGGGTTTCACAGGGCTGTTTACCTGCCTCTGGGACAGGGTGGCTGGGACTATGAATGTTTGCAAGGGGCTTGGAGAGCCTCGGAGGAAAGGGTACATGCGGCTCTACATGAGAGCTATCAATGGTGGCATCCTGGTCATTAACTGAGGGTGGGCCAAGTTGATCATATGGGCTCTTGGGCTACTGGGATTACCCAATATAATTTTGGAAGAGCCCTTAAGGCATGAGTCACATGACTGGCTGAACAGCTGCAGAATTACACCAAAAGCAATTACCAGTGTCTGCCTCCAGAGCGGCCCTTGCAGCAGGCAGTGGCACCAAGTGTAGTAGTGAGCTGTGACAAGTCTGGGACCACGCATCATCATGTAGGCCCAGATCACGGCCCTCCTGGCTCACTGCTCATTGGCAGGATTCAAACCCAGGACACGATGGGTGGAACGCATGGGGAATCTCCCTTAGCCCGAGCAGTGCTGGGGCTTATAACATTGGTGGTGCCTTTAGCCACAAGGGTGACAACCTAGCCCCCAAAATAGCAGCCAGCTGGTCACAAAGCACAGGGCTCTACTTCCATTCACATACACACCCTCCTCTGGTGGAAAAATGCACCAATAAACACAAACAGGAGTGGAAACGGCTAACATTAAAAATAGGGTGTCAAGGGATATTGCCAAGCAGTGGCCTTTATTCCTACAGCATTACTGCCAGCTTCAACCTGCGGCCTACGTAACACTTTGTGAGCCGAGAACCACTGATCTAGTCTGACCTCCTGCATAGCCCAGGCCGGAGAACGGCCCCACAATAATTCCCAGAGCAGATCTTTTAGACAGACATCCCATCTTGATTTAAAAATTGTCAGTGATGGAGAATTCACCACAAGCCTTGGCAAATTGTTCCAGTGCTTAATTACTCTGTTAAAAAAATTACGCCTTATTTCCAGTCTGAATTTGTCTAGTTTCAACTTCCAGCCATCAGATCCTGTTAGACCTTCCTCTGCTAGACTGAAGTGCTCATTATTAAATATTTGTTCCCCATGTAGATACAGCTTGTAATCAAGTCACCCCTTAAGCCTTTTTTTTGTTTTGTTAACTAAATAAATTGAGCTTTTTCAATCTATCACTCTCAGGCAGGTTTTCCAATCATTCTTGGGGCTCTTCTCTGCACCCTCTCCAATTTATCAACATCCTTCTGGAATTGTGGGCAGCAGAACTGGACACGGGATCCCAGCAATGGTTGCACCAGTGCCAAATACAGAGATAAAATAACCTCTCTGCTCCAACTCGAGATTCCTGTTTATGCATCCCAGCTTGACACACACTTGAACAGCTCTAATTCTATGCAGTAGAGGGCAGTGCTCTCTGGCTTAAATCCCCTCCCCATTACAATATGATAGTAATTAGCAAGGGAGTCAGAATCAACCTTCTAGATCAAGGGGTGGGGGTGGGACTTAGAGGCAGCCCCCCATTCCTGGGATAAATAGGACCAACAGACAAATAGTACAGGAGATAAATTTATTGAACTTCCAAGGTGTTAGACAGATGACCCCAGAGGAGACATGCCATTTGGTGTGACCGGCTTGGGCAGCAAGAGATGAGTAGGTGGAAGGTTGGATTTTGCTCTATGTCTTTATTATTATTATTTTAAAAGCCTGTTTCTGGCATCTTCTTCTTCTTCTTTTTAAAATTTTTAAACTTAAGTAAAAACGATTCATCTTGGAAACAGTCCAGCTCGTGTTGGTGTCCCATGATTGTTTCCGCAGCTATGTACAATGTCTGACTCGCGGCTTTTTGTCGTGTCTACATCAGGTATAAAATGGAGCAAGTCTACAAAGAATCTCTTTGAGAAGAAAAGGAGAAAGCAAAGACAGACAGGAGAGAGAGAGAGACAGCAGTAGAAATTTGGACCAAAATCTTAAGAGAAATTTAAAAAGTGCTATAAAACCCCCTCAGCAGGAATACCATGCAGTTAAGAAACACAGAACCTCATCAATTACACAGCTCGTCTAAAACAGGAATTCGTCCATTTCAGGTTTTTTTATTCAATAAAAAAAAGGTTGGTTTGTTTTTAATAGAAAAAAGCTAAACTCGTACGGTTTGGGCCACCCGTCAGCAGTCGCTAATGGGCCAAGGAGACACAAGACTTTGGAGGAATCCTAACTCCATCCCCTGATGGAGTGCGGCCCAGGCTCAGGGGGGAAGAGCAGAAAGGGTTAATCAATGTCTTTGGCGGGGAAGGTGGGGAAGGGACTTTAGGTTGGCCAATGGTTGGATGAATTAGTGCAATTGTCTGCTTTTCCAACAGCCTCACTCCGGGCTTCCGTGGGCATCAAGGCCTTGGGTATCTTAGCACCAACGCTCCAGGCAGAGCCCGGAGGAACCAGCCACCGTCTCCCTTTGGCTTGCTCATGGACTGATGGGGGGAATTCCCACAATCTCTCCCCCTTTTATTTTTTGCAAAGCAGGATCTGAAGTTAGGACAGCGTCAAAGGCTGGTTCCACATTCCCGCCCCTCTGCCCCCCGCAGGCCCTGCATTTGCTAAAGGAGGCATCCAGCACTGAGCCCCTCTCTGCAGGGCTGGAGCATTAGGCCCCAGGCTGTGTTTGCTCTCATGGGTGTCCTCTTTCCTCTGCCCCGTCCATATGCAGGGCCGGCTCCTCAGCTGGTGTAAATGGGCAGCACTCCACTGAAGTCCACGTCTGCTGACCTGCAGCAGCTGAGGAGCTGGCCAGTAAAATGTAATTAGCACTTTGGCATCTCCAACCTTGCATCCCTCCTTGCTGAGGCTAGTCATATCTACCATCACCCTATGGGCCAGAGTCCCCCTCCCTCACGCTAGTGTAAATCAGGAGTAATGCCATTGAAGTCAACCATGTCTCCCTCCCCTCCCCAGTAAAAGTGGGGACTTGAGCCTGTTTCTTTAAAATCCTCCCTCGCAAGGGTCAGCTCAGGCCTTCGGGCCTCGCCCAGCAGGTGTGAGCAGGCAGCACCCCATTGCTCTCCCTACATGGAGCGCCGAGCTCCCTTGATTATGGGGTGCCCGGTGGGGGGGAAGGCAGGGGAGCCTCACTTGAATTGGGAATGGAAACCATAGCTTGGGGGGAGGCAGGGGCAGAGGAAAGAGGTGGTTCCAACGCTGGGTGGGTCTCCCCATGCTGGATGGAGCCGGATCAAGGGCTCCGGGAGTGAGGCACGCAGCTGCGGTTCAAGGGCAGCTGGGGGGCTCATGCCCTTAGGCTCCTTTTAACTGCCCAGCCGCAGCCTGTTAGAAATGGGCCTCTCCCTCCCTCCCCCACCAGCTCTCAGCATCAGGCCCCTGAAGCCCTCCTGTCCCCTGTGCTGCCCTCTCTAGCACTGCTGCTCCTGCAGCCCATGCAAGGGGGCAGGTGGGGGGCAGTCCCAGTCTGATGGGGCAGGGCTCATGTCCCCCAGTTCTTGCTACTGCCCTATAGCGATTGCTGGGCCGGTGTCTCATACAATCAGAAACATGAGTCAGCACAGCACAGTTATTCACACATAGTACAAAAAGGGACAGACAGGCGGGGCTGGGCCCCATCCAACCCACTCGGGGCCTCCCGGTACAGCGCTATTTACAGTGTGTCCTTATCCTACAGAGTGAACAGAAAAGGCAAACGAGAGAAAACCCCAGTGTCGAGCCCAGCACGCGGTGTTTATATCGCCCGGCTCATCCGGAGCTAGGGAATGGCGCAGCGGGGACGTGCTGTGATACAGAGCGGACAGACAAGGACCAGGGCTGACCCTGTAAAGATGCATTGACGGAGATGCCGCCTGTGCCATGCAGCTTGCTGTGTTCCTGCCCTTGGTGGCTTGGCTGGTTTAATACGCTACCTCTTGGCTCTTCCTTCCTCGCCAGGAATGGGCGCAAATCTGGAATCCAGTGCTAGATGCCAAGGGTTGATTCAAAGCCTACTGAATGCAGCTGGGTCCCGGCCACCCAACTGGGCCATGCCCAGCCCAGTGCTGGCGCACTCACAGGAACGCCTGGCCACGGTGAGGAGGGTGAAATAATGGGTGCGGTTGGGCAAGAAATTAAGGCCTAGGGCCCCGATCCTCAAAAGGGATTCAAGTGCCTCACGCCCACTGAAATGAAATGGGGGCGAGGTGCTTACGCACCTGGGAGAGTCCCCCCAGGAGTGACAGCTCTTGAGCGCCTTCAAACCCAGGTCTCCAAAACGGAAGCCACAACGTGTGTAAAAGAAACCTCTGGGTGGGATCATTGGATTCCAGTGGGGATTTCATTACCCAGCCACCTGTAATTAGGGTGACCAGATTTTGGGGGCTTTTCTTATATAGGCACCTATTATCCCCCACCCCCATCCCGATTTTTTACACTTGCTGTCTGGTCACCCTACCTGTGCTGCTAAACACCGAAAACTAGAATATGGCACCTCCCTTTGAGACAGAGCCCAGCTGCCCAGTATGAATCCAAACGTGTGTGTGTGGGGGGGTGATCTTGGGTTCGGCGTTGGGCTCATCTTTACCTGAAAGATGCCAACGATTTTTCTTCAACCACGGTCCAGAAACCAATAGGAGTCAGGCACCGAAATATCTTTGAGGCTCTTAAACTCGGTCTTGCTGAGAGTTTGTGCAGCACACCCAGGCCCCCGTCCCGAACGGGCTCTCTGGCTGCTCCTATACCGTCGGTGTTACCAAAGCAAAGGGGATTGAGAGATGAGCAGCTCTGGTGAGGATGGAGCTGGAGAGATGAACAGTAGGGGGAAGAATGAAGAGAACTCAGTATTAAGAGCTTTGCTAAGTGGTGGCTAAGAGACAGTGAGGTCCTACTAATTGCCTGCAACTCTTGGAAAGGCGCCAATGGAAGAGGATGGAAGAGGAGGAATCACGTGGGTTGGGACTATGGGAGTTTTGAGCAAAAGCAAATTTCTCAGCAGCAAGAGGGATCAGTCTGGAACGGTCGCCCTGGGGCAGAGGTGGCTGGGCCATTGCTTGAGTCGTTTAAGATCACAGACCAAAGCCCTGGAGACCCGAGTCTGCAGGATAGACTAGATGGAGAAAAACCTGGGGTGTCCCATCTCTGTCTGCACGGATTCTACCTCTGTTGTTAAGAGCCACAGACATCATCTGTGTCCATTTGTCACTTCACCCCTGCTGTAATGCTCCAGTGCAGCTGGACCGATTTCAACCGCTCGAGGGGCATAACATCAGCAGATTTGCGTGAGGTAAAGCTCATAGCCAAGAGTAGCAAAAACCAGCGCCCAAGGGGATTGTGCACATTAAACCAGCCAATGGAAGCTTCTGCTACAGCCAAACCTATCCTCCCCCCGAAGTTCCCAGTGTTGGTATTGGGTTACATTGACAGGGTGCACGTGTCCACAATTACACACAGAGAGCGAAGCGAGCACCTTAGATCTGCACAGGACATTGCTGCAAATCCCTGGCAGCGCCGGTCCAAGGGTCTGCCCTTGGGAGGGTCACAGATACATTTCAATGGGAACGCCCCCCCATGCCTACACACACGGCGTTGTGGGGGGAGGGGAGCGGGGAAATGCACCAGACCAGATTTTCCTTACACCAAAAGGCCTCTTGGGTTGGTTTTAAGCCCCTGGAGAGTTAGGGACAGAGAGATTCTGTGCACAGGCCTCGGTCATACCCAGAGGCGCCATGTGCCAGACCCCCCAAGCCCTGCACCCCGAGATAGCACACGACTGAGAAAGGCAGGTCGGGTGGTGTTTTGTGTCGTCTCCGAGCAAAAGCAAACCGGAAAGATAGCAGCACCTGCCTCCTGCCAGAGACGCCCTTTGGGAAGGCAGGGCAGTGGGTCCAGGCCGAAGGGGAGGCAGCTGATCGCACTCTGCCTGTGACATGTTAGTGCGTGGGGCCAACCTCCACCAGCAACGAAGTTCGCCCTTGCTCCCCGCTGCGGGGCTGCCCATCGAGCCAGGAGCCCACTGTCCTGCCCTCCCCACCAGGATGCCAGGCTGCTGCATCTGGCCAGATCCACAGGGGCTCCAGTAACCACCAGCATTAGGCACTGGCTGCCCTACTCCACATCTCCGCCCTCCATCGCCACCAGGGTGAACTCAATGCAACAGGCTGCAGGATGGGGAGAGCCGAGATCGGAGCTACTGCTCTCTCCTCCACTCATGCGTTGTTCACCAGCGTGTGCCCATAGCCACCTCCCCAGCACAGGTGGCAAGCTGCATGGGACAGCGTAGGCACCTGGGCAGGGCTGGCCCATGGGATCAGACCTGTCAAGAGACCAGGCTGGTGCAGCAGCTCTGGCTGTAGGTGGCACCAGGTGGAGCGTGATAGGGCCAGGAGTTTGTCTAGAGGACGTATTTGTAAGTCATGTCCACAGTCACGTAGGGACGGGGTGGATTCTCCGTCACTTGGAGCCTTGAAATCGTGACTCTTTACATGATCCGCTTGAGCCCAACCATGAGCTTTGGCTGGCGGCAGGAATCCTCGGGTGAGGTTCTCTGGACCCCCAGAAGTGTAAGCAGGGTCCTGGGGTCCGACAGGCCCTTGGAGGCTGAGAGACCTTGCCCAGAACTGCCTGGTTACGGACGCTCACGAGACCCAGCTCACGGCGGGCAGCGAGTAGAGGCCAGGGATGCATCTCTGTTAGCAGCAGGCACCCCTCCAAGTCATGGAGCCGAACAGGGATCGACCTATCCCAACCCATGGGGAGCTGGGATGGGTGCTAGCCGGAGCCCAGCACTCCACAGCAGGGAGTGTGGTGGGCCTAGGACCACGTTTCCAGTTCAGCTTTCCTCCCTGCTCGCCGGAGAGCGGTGAGGGCCTTGGCGGTCCCTGAACGTACGTCAGTGGAACATTTATGCAGGACAGGAGCACCGCAGGCACCAGCAGAGATGGGGTTAAACATACCCCTCTCCCCCTGGTTACACATATCAACTCTGTTTGGCGCTCATGGGCTGGGATCCAGCCACGTACCCAATGAATTGGCCAACACGTGCCCTTGGCTCATATGCTCCAGGCTGCTCTGTTGGCAGAGGTAATAAGGCAGCATTGCAGCACCATGGTTCGTTCCCCCCATTCCACAGCCACCTCTTCTGGCTGTACAGTTGCATATTTCTTTTGCAGGCCTTGGCTTGGATCTTCACAGCTTGCAGAGACAGCAGCGCAGATTCAGTCCGCAGCACGAGGCAGGGCAGCTTCCCAGACTGGGGCTTCTGCTCCCTGTGTGGTCCTGGGCGAGGGAGATCCCTTGGCAGTTTCCTGCTCCGGGGAAGGGACGTGCCTCCGCCCACAGCTCACCTTGAGCAGCTCAAGCTGAATTCCAAGCAAGACCACAGGCCGCTTGCCAGAGATTCAACCCGAGGTGCGAGTCTGTCTTGATTGCTAGGAAACAGCACCTGCTGGGCTGAGATTATCCCTCCGGCCACGAGTTACTGACCCCCTGGGCTGAATATATGAATGGCCCTGGGGGAGTAGTTGCCTAGAGGATGTGTCTGCACATCACCAAGTCCCATGGTCACCAAGGGCCAGGGTACGTTCTCCAGAACTTAGAGCCTTTAAATCAAGACTGGGTGTCTCTTTCTAAGCCATCACACTCAAGCTGTGGGCTGGATGCAAGAATGGGGGATTGGGGGGGGGGGAGGGGAGGGAGACCTCTAGTCTGTGCTATGTAGGTGCTGAGCAGAGATGAGAATGGTTCCCTCTGGCCTCAATGTCTAGGGCTGCTGCTATCTCGGGCTATTTCATGGCCTTCTGATGTCCAGAAAGCTATTGATGACAGATGCGGGATGGTGCCATCCAAACCAACTTGGGACTCCTGAGACGAGAAACCCCTGCAATGTAATGCACACCAGCGGTACTGAACCCACCGCATGGATGGACCTAAGCCAACGCTCCCAGCCGGCCTTGGGGCCTGAGGGAAATGAGGAAGGGCTCTCCAAGGGCCTTGGCTGGGAGAGGAGGAGGGGGCTCTTTCACTGGTTCCCCTGCTGCTGTGCATGGAGGAGGGAGGCCCATGTGCTGCCCGCCCCTTGTCTAGATGCCACCTAACGGCTACTGAGATCTCTATGCTGGACATGGAGCAAGAGCTCTGCATGCACTAACCATGCATGGAGATGTGTCATAGGCAGGGCCTCCTCTGCCAGCCCCCTCGCCTCAATGTCCTGTCACCATCTACCCTAACCAGCTGAGAAGGCTCATGGGGGACGGATGCTACCAGCTCTGCTGGCTTGGTGGGAGATTGTCACCATCTCTGGCTACTCCCTCGGACTTGAGCCGCCAGGGGCCGCAGCAGCACGGTCTCTCAGCTCCCACTGCCAGGGCCTGGCCCCCGGCTATGGGCATCTTGTGCTTATAGAAGATGGGTGTCACAAAGTCAGGGGTGGGGAGGGGAACCCCCCCAGCCAGTTGTGCTTCTTTGTGAGCGTCGTGCTGCTGACTGAAGCCACGTTGAGTCTGATAGGAGCTGCAAGGGGGGAAAATCAGTCACTGGAGAGCATCCAGTCAGCACCAGTTTCATCACCGAGGTGACTGGGGGGCGGGGGGGGGGTAGAGAGGGGAGAGAAAAAAAACAACAGCTACAAAAATAAACGAGTCCAACGGAAATGGAAAAAAGGAATCAACTCAATGCGAGGCTGCCCGCCCCTCCTCGGGCCACTGCAACGGGGAGAAACCAACCAGAACCAGAGGAACAAAGGAAGGACTGAACTCTGTCCAAATCAAATGGGTGGGTGTGGGGGGGAATAATATAACCAAAGCAGGGTTTATTGGGAAGTCCTGGTTTAAATGACGGTCATGCAGATTAAATAAGGGATGTACAAAGACAGAGCTGAAAGTCCGCCTCCTCCTCCCAGGCCTTTGCTTACACTGGAGTTTGTTGGGTGGCTGGCGCGGGAGACAGTGGAAGCCGGTGCCCAGCGGGTCTCTGACAGCGCGACTCAGACACATTCATCAGGAATTTGTTCTTCTCTTTGCTCCGCAGATTGATTGTTTCATTAAAACAACAACAACAAAATCCTCGTTCTGGGGCTGCATGCTCCTCCCTGCCCCCCCCAGCGCACCCCAGGAGGGGTCCCGCGGGGTCCCCGCCCCATGCAGGTGCCTGCCCGTTGGTGCTGGGGAGTCTGTGTTGGCTGCATTCGGCCCCCAATCCCCAGGAGTTTGTGACAGAGACAGAAAAACCAAGAAGAAAAACCAGGATTCTCCTACCGCCAGAGTCAGGCTGGGAGGCGGGTGCCTCGCGCTTTCTCGGGGGCCGAGCCCTGCTGCCCCCATGCCCAAAGGGGACGTGCCAGAGCCCCGCGTCCCCGCCGCTTTCCAGCCCTGGCCGCGCACTCCCAGGAGACCAAATGAAAAGCAAAACCAGCCGGCGGGGACGCTGGCGGCTGAGGGCGGCGAGCTCCCCTCCCCGGTGCGTTGCGACCTCACGGCGTTGGCTGCAGGTTGGGATCCACCAGGGTCTCTCGATCCGGAGACTCGATGTAGTTGGCTGCTTCCTGGAGCTTCAGCAACATGGCCATCTGCGCAGGAGGTAAGGGCACCGAGAGTGGGTCAGCCAAGCACGTCCGCAGCGGGGCACGGCCAGCGCCCCGCACACCTGACACACAGCCCCCCTCGCCCTTAACCATCAGCCAGTCCAGTCCTGCCCTGCGGATGCCCCTCCAAGCCTGCCCCAGCCCTCAGCTCTACCAGAGCTCCCCACTCCTGACCTGCGGAGTCCCCACCCCACGTTCTCATCCTTCAGCTGGAGCTCTGTGACCCAGGAACCTCTCGGTGCCAACTGGCGCAGGGGCACACAGATTTTCATAGGAATCCCCTGGGTCAAGTAGACACACATGAGTTCACCAAAGGGTGGCAACATGAGGTCAAAACTGAGAGCCAATAGCCTGCTGCTCCTCGTAAGCGTTGCGAAATGCGAGTAAGGCGAAGACTGAAGAAGTTACGTGTCTACACTGAAAATTACGGTTGGAAGGGAAGGCCGGTCAGCCCAGGAGGGGTACTGGGCAGGTGGGTTCTTTCCAGGCAGTGGGTAACAGATGCTTCTCTCTCGGTCTGATGGGGTGTGTATTGTGCATTGCAGGGCTGACGAGGGATGCCTGTTTGCAAACCAAGCCAGATACCAGCCTGCTTGTACTGGGCCCCATCTGCCATGCGTTTCGGCTTGCTCCCCCCAGCACCCGTTATACGGAGCGGCCCCGCTATCAGCTGTGTGCTCAATGGAATCTGTCTCTGGGGAGCGTCTCCAGCCTGAGACACCCCTGGGGGTGGGGGGTGGGGTTGCTCTGTGACGGTGTATGGACAGACACCTGGGGAGGATGGACTCACCTCCCCACCAGCCAGCTGGTCAATGGGATGACCCTGTGCTCCCCACCAACCCTCCCCATAGTAACCCCCTTCACCTCCAGGACCCCCTACCCAGCCATTACTACACTGCCCTGCCCCCACTGCCTCTGTGACCCCCACCCCCGTATCTCGCAGGCTCTGATCCCCCACATACTCGCTTGCACCCCCTACTGGAAGCGGCCCATACCAGGGGGTCGGAGTCCAAGGAGCTGGGCGTTGTGTCTTTGACAGTCCGCTCCTCCGGGGGGGAGGCTGTGGTTTGGGGCCCCACGCTGGGCGGGGGCAGGTGGTACAGCTTTGATTGGTCCTGCTGCGCTGACGGCCAGGGCAGGGTGTCCCGGACCCACTCCACGGGGTCTTCCCAGGCTGCTTTCTGGCCGTGGACCTGAAAGGGGAGGCAGAGACTGGGTGAGGGGGTGCAGGGCTCAATGCTCATGGCACCGTGGGTCCAACTGCCCCACGGAGGCAGCTGCAGCTCAGTCCCACTGACGGACAGTGGGGCTCAGGACAGGGAAGGACTGGAAGGTCAAGGTTAGCGCAGGCGGAGACTGGTCAACTTTCTAATACCCAGTGTGACGTTGTGCAGTCTATATGGTTTTATAAAAA